TGAAGTTCTACTGAGGCTAAGGAGGAGGACACTTGCAACCAATGGCACCCCCTAAACTGGTTGTGAGCAAGAAGGGCAGCTGTTTGTGTGCATGCTTCTGGTTAAAGGCTGCCTGAAATTGGAATAGTGTTCCATTTGTGTTAATGGATCTGCACCCACTGTATCAGGAATAGCTAAACTTTCCACACACACACACACACCTTCATTGATTATCCCCTTGAACTTAAGATATTTTGGGGTGATTTTCACAAAGCTTTCTTCCAAGCAAGTATGCCTTCAGTTTATTAGCAACCGTTGAATCAGTGCTATGTTCCAAGTGAGCCAAGCTGGCTGGTTGCATTTAGGAATTTACCATATGCCTGTAATCTGCTGTGCTGTCACCTCAAGAAGAAACATTGCTGAAAGAAAATGACTTGGTGCTTTCTCTTCATTTATTGTTCTAATAAAATCAATCATCCAAGGTCCAGCTCCCCAAAATCTGAACAGCGTAGCAAAAGAAAAGAAAAAAAACCCTCTAAGGATTATATTTTCTCATTGGGATCAAATGGACCAGAGAATGAATCACTTCAAAAGGTTAGATGGAAAACATACATGACTTTGAACTTGCCATCAACTTTGAAAAAACAATTTCTTGCTGGATACTTTCAGACCAGCAGCCGCTGAGTGGTTGCTGCGTGTATCTGTCTAAGGTGCATGCAGATGCCTAGAAATCCACTGCTTATCTTGAAAAGACCTGTACGCTAGAAGAATAACAATAATATCCAGCATGGTCACGCTGATGACAACTGGCACTATCTTACGACCCATTTGCGCAATGAGGCAATTTTAGACTCTGGCTTGGCAGGGCGGCTTTTAGATGGTAATGTGTATCCCCTACTGCATTTGGCAGCCTTCCTGCTTGATCTGTTGAATGGGCCTCCTGTCCCAAAGGCCTTCCCCAACAGCCTCACGGTTATCACCTCTAAGAAAAGTGGAGCTAGTGGCTTATCCAACGGCATCCTCTAACCCCAAGTCACCCTATCCAAAGATATAGGTTGCTTTCAAACAACTGCAACTTTGGTCTGGCTGTCTCGGTTTGCAACAGGATCCTTTGCTTGCTATAGAACCATACTATGGAATAGGGCACGTCTAAAGGTTTTCCGCACTGCCATTTGGCTACCATGGCGGGAGGATATGACAAATTGGAAAGGGAAAAATTAACTGGGGTGCTCCCGCCACTCCCAGGAAATCACTGCACTCACAATGGGAAACCAGTTGGACAGCTTTTCTGATTCAAGCACCTAGATTCTGTAATAATTACAATCAAACTTCAAAACTAGTGTGATCTTAATGGCTATAGTTCTCCAGTGCTGGCTGTACTATTAGACAGAATGAGGCAGCTGCCTCAGACTGAAGATGCTTGCGGGTGGGGAGGCGGAAAGCAGCTACAGTCCCTCAATCTTTCCCACCCAAGCTACACTGCTCTGCTCCCTCTAAGCTGCCTTGTTGACTCAGGTGCGGAGGCGGATGTTGTCCCATTGCCAGTTGGATCCACTCCAGTTGGATCTAGTGTGTGGAATGAGGGGACAGGGGGCATTTTGTCCTTTGCCTCAGGCAGAAAAATGTTTTGGGCTGGCCCCTGGCTCACCCAGGTTAACTGACTTCAGAGTCAGTTTGGAGGCAACATTATCTGTATGGGCTAAATGCTGAATGATGCTGGTTCATGCCTCAAGCTTCAGGACAGGGGAGAAATTTGATTCAGTTCACCTTTAAAGGTGAACCAATCTAATTTCCACTTTCTGAAATAATGCATGAACCAAAACACATCTATCCATCAAAAGTCACACTTCTTTGAATTTTGCAATGCAGTTCTCTAGCCAATCTCTATAAACATACATATATTAAGGCAAGCTGTTCATAATATATTAGTAAAAATAACATTAAAATGTACCATATTGAGGAAATAGCTTAAAATGTGTATATTGTGCAAAATTGCCTAGATATGTATACAGTATATTAGGAAAAATTCGCTGATGAACTTTCATGAAGTCCTTTAATTAATTAATACATCTCAAGCTGCTGTGGAAAGGTGGAGAACTGAACTTAAAATTGGAAAAATGAGAAACAGAGAGAAACTGAAATTGAAAGGTTTACTCCTACTCAAGGGTACCCTTATTTGACTCTCCCCAGTCTCTCCCCACTTTCCCACTCCCTGCAAAATCTAGCCTTGCTTTTCTCATGAAGCAACACATGCCTTATAACCCTGTTTTGCAATGTGCAGGATGCCAACAATAAATTAAGGGCCCAAGTGTTAATGCTCAGATTCTCCTACCATTAATTTCCTACCTTACTATGCTTATTGATTTCAGTGGCACTATTTATGAAGTCAGTTATTACTCATTGTGAGAAATGGTAGCACGATATAACCCTGAGGCATATGAACAAGCTGCAGATGCTATGAAAAAAGGAAATACAGGTTGGCTTCAGAACCTGCTCTGTTTTTTTGTCAGACTGCACAATGGAGATTGATAGCAATATGATATTGCATGGATCTGCCGACAGCATGAAAGGAACCAATATGTTGTACCATTGGCTGGATAATATAACAATAAGGTTGGAAGCCCCTATTAGGCAGGAGTCCTTATGCCCATGCTCGTTTGATCTCCACATATTTGGGGGTTTGCTATCCAACTATAGGATAGATCATGGCTGAAAATTTCAGGTAATCTCAAGCACCTGTCGGGCCGGCCTAGATCAGCTGCCGGGCCCTGTTGATGAAGAAGAAGAAGAAGAGTTTGGATTTGATATCCCGCTTTATCACTACCCGAAGGAGTCTCAAAGCGGCTAACATTCTCCTTTCCCTTCCTCCCCCACAACAAACACTCTGTGAGGTGAGTGGGGCTGAGAGACTTCAGAGAAGTGTGACGGGCCCAAGGTCACCCAGCAGCTGCATGTGGAGGAGCGGGGAATCGAACCTGGTTCACCAGATTACGAGTCTACCGCCCTTAACCACTACACCACACTGGCTCACCATGATGAGAACCAGCGCCTCCATTTTGTTTCTTATTTGACATAGACCCTTGCCTAGTGAGAGGCCACGTGAACAGTTTCTGATATGCTGAACCCCTTTTGTGCCACAGGTGTCAGAAAACCCATCAATAGTGCAAAAGCCTCTGAGATATTCTCTTAGTTCCTATGGTGTGCTGCCCTTTTCCAGCCATCACTGAGCCCTCTCCCACAAAAACCTGGCAATTTCAGCCTTGGGTATTTAGTGAAGGCTCAAAAACTGGACATGGGGATTTTTGGGGGCATATAATAGCTGTGTTGATCCTGCTGTAGATCCTGCTCTAACATTTGGATCAGCACTGGCAGCCTCCAGGTGGCTTTCAAATTTGACAGTGTTTCCAGATAGGTGTTTATTATGGGATGGATACACTTCATGCATGCAAGCTCTTTTTTGGCATCCATGATGTCCTTCTGGATCTTTGAATAGCATCCACAAGATGTCAAAATGACAGCCCATATTTCCCTCATCCCGGCTCTCCCCATCTGGTGAGGAATGGAACTCACAACTCTGCTTCTGGCAGAAGCTTTTGTTTTCAGATTAGAGTGGTACATAAGACAAGTCAGAGGTTGCAAGGTTCAGAGGCTACATGAGCTAAGCACGAGCTAAGACATAGCAACATGCCCCCTTCACGTTCCTTTTGAAGGATGGGAGTAGGCACACTATTAAGCATGGCAAATGGCTGGAGTCCTGAGACTGGGCATGCAAACAAGCACTCCTTCTGGTGGGCTGGCTAGGTGACATTTGTATCGCACTAGTGCTGGTGTCCACATGGCTTAGGTGTTGGAGGACTCAGCATCAGATCTCCCCGCAGCTGCCTCCCCTGATCAGGGAGGATCTTGTGTAGCAAGGGAAGGTACCTCCTAGATTGGAGATGAAGAGAGTCTCATGTCTGGAAGGGAGGTAGCAGGAGGCACATCTTAGAGTTTTCCTGAGCATGAAGTTGCTTTAATGGAAGGGAGAAGAGTACAAAGAGCAACGTAACAGCTGCTCACTTTGCCCTCCAAGTAAAGAAAAGCCTAGAAAGCTATTTCAAAGTTTAAAGGTCTATTGAAACTCTAAATATTGCTGGTTATTAACAGGTGCCACTTATTCTTTTCTTAGCCAGAGCTGGAACAAAGAGTGCTTTTCTTTAATCCCCTGACAAATATTTAGATTCATGCTCAATGTGTTTGAGAACTTCCTCATTTGTCTCAGCTGAAGTGTTTCCTGGAGAACTCAGCTTTGGCATTCAGATTAACACCACGTTTATAGCAAACCAAAATGGGGGCCTCCAGACAAGCGCTTTACATTGTAGGCTGCTCATGGGCTACAGTTTTCTTTTCAGTTCATCAGATTTCCCCTGGGTCATGTAAATCCAGATTAAATGGTGCTGGCGGGTGGAATACAAGCTGAGATTTTGATGTCAGTGTTGTTGTATGTATGCTGCAGAAATCTTGGGTGCATCTAGAGCCGCGATCCCACAACACACACCAGCCTGGAAACATCCAGTGATGATTCATTTTTTGTTTATGGTAGAGGCCTCTGTACAGCTGCAGGACAGGCAGGTATTCAGTAAGGGCAGACACTTCTCAGCATTTATTGTTTATTACATCTATATCTGTCTATCTATCTCCATATATCTCCTGCCCACCTAGCAGTTCGAAAGCACCCCTAAGTGCAAGTAGATAAACAGGTACCGCTTTCTAGCGGGAAGGTAAACGGCGTTTCCGTGTGCTGCGCTGGTGCTGGCTCGCCAGAGCAGCTTCGTCACGCTGGCCACGTGACCCGGAAGTGTCTCCGGACAGCGCTGGCCCCCGGCCTCTTAAGTGAGATGGGCGCACAACCCTAGAGTCGGACACGACTGGCCCGTACGGGCAGGGGTACCTTTACCTTTTTATCTCCATATATAAAATTGCCTTGTTTGGATATTACTCTTGCAAGGCACTTTACAGCAATGAATAAATGGAATATACACATCGCTTCTCGGCCTTTTGGCTAAGATCAAGTGTAGTAAATGGAATACACAAAAACAACAAAAACTTCGAAATCAAGCCAGTAAACCAAACAACTATTATTTATTTATTATGTTTCTATCCTGCTCATCCTCCAAGCAGCTAAGGGTGTGTAACACGGCCTTCCCCATGACAGAGACCCTGTGAAGTAGGCTGCACAACAGTGACGAGCCCTAGGTCACCCAGTTTTGTCTGAGAAGGGAACTAAAATAGTAGTGACTCAAACATGAAGCCAGCATAAAACCACCAATACAATGGAAAGAGGAAGAAAAAAAGTTGTAGAAAGCTACCAATGGGGTGTGTGCGTGCGGGAAGAATACTTATTTCCTGAGGAAGCAAATTAAAAAAAATGGGGAACTACCACTGATAAGGTGTGGAACCTGTCTGCATTTCTCAGTGAAAACCTGTTGGAGTCTTCGTTGCCCATCATTCCATTTATCTATTCCCCTTCAAGTCTTCCCCACTTTTTTACTTTCTCCCCTTCTCTGCCTTTTTGTACTATCTTCCTCCTCCTCCTCCCCCCCACCCCCTGTTGAACTTCCAGCGGCTAGTGAAGACCTTTTTATTTCAACAGGCATTTTAAGGCATTTGATTTTTTCATTGGTTTCATCTCTGTTGTATTTATTAAACTCATTGTGCACTGCTTAGAGACAATTTGACAATATGAATTGTCAAAATAGCGAATAAATGAGCTAAAAACCGCTTGACTGTAGTTTCTCCCCACCTATGAGTTTGCAACCAAGTCTCATGAGTGATAATCCTGATGTCGTCATGGTTTCCCACTTCCTTTGGAAATGGTAAGGATTTGTCAAGCACCGAAACCATCACCTTTGCTTGAGCTGTGTCTTTCTGGTGCCCTGTGGCCGTCCACAAGCTGCGGTGTTACTTGAGGTTCATTGTCTCATGGAACGAGCAATGAATTATTAAGCATTTCTGTACTACTGTCTCCCAAAACAACAGGTAAAGTAATCTCGGGTGTTTATCTCGGTAACAGAGCACTGCCCCTCCCAACACAACAGCAGCAGAACCACTGGAGCACAGCATTTCCCTGTAGCAACATGCCAGCCATGCCATAGCAGCACTTAATTTAGGACTGAGACATTGCATATCAAGGACCTATGAGCCTCGCACTGTTTTCCACTATGGGAGGCTGGGTCAACCCAAGGCAAAAGGGAAGAAGGCACAGACCTCGCCCACCCCCATTCCACATACCAAAGCCGACTAAACAGGAAGTTAAACTTCCTTCAACACTGATAGCATCTTCCTACTGAATCTGTGACTAACAGACTAGTTTAGGGGGGCGGGTCAGGACAGGGTTGGTGAACTTTTAACAGCCCGAGGGCCATCTTCCCTAAATGTATTCGGCTAAACATCAGGAAGAACTTTATGATGGTAAGAGCTGTGCTATGATGATAAGACAGTGGAACGGACTCCCTCAGCAGGTTATGGACTCTCCTTTACTGGAGGTTTTTAAGCAGAGGTTGGATGGCCATCTGTCATGGGTGTTTTATTTGAGATTCCTGCATTGCAGGGGGTTGGAACAGATGACCATCAGGATCTCTTCCAACTCTATGATTCTGTGATTCTGTGGTTCCATTCTATGGAGAAGAGAAGACTCCCTGGAAAAGACCCTGATGTTGGGAAAGATGGAGGGCACAAGGAGAAGGGGACGACAGAGGACAAGATGGTTGGACAGTGTTCTCAAAGCTACAAACATGAGTCTGACCAAACTGCGGGAGGCAGTGGAAGACAGAAGTGCCTGGCATGCTCTGTCTGGTCCATGGGGTCACGAAGAGTCGGACACGACTAAATGAGTAAACAACAACAACAACAATGGTTCCATTCTGGAGATCCTTCCAAAGGCCAGAGGTGTGCAGGACCAGAAGCAAACATGGGCAGATCAATAAGTGTGAATTTTCTGGCTACAGAATCTGTGCTAAATTTTCTGCAGAATTCTTGACCAACTGATGTATAAACTGTGTAATTAACTGACCAACACCAACATATATAACATTCTACCTATTACACCCTCTCCCATATTCCACCCCTCATCTGTCTTATTTTAGGTCAGTAAAAAAAAAGGGAGCTCAGCTTTCATATTGGCTTCTTGGCATATTGGCTTGCTCCCAAGACTTTTCTGTAGAGACAAAAGATAAGAAGTGTAAATTTGGATTATGACAAAGGTGTGATCTACTGAACAGGCAACAAGGGCCCTGCAGTCCATTTTCCTCCCTGTGTGACAACCTTGTCTCAGAGCAAAGAGAGAACATTTTGTTCTTGCTTTTCATGATGGAAATAGAACATTAACGAGCTGGAGGCAAGCTGCCATGGATGAGCGCTTGAGTTCTAATTGTTTCTGTGTCCATCTTTGAAGGACCATTTCCATTTTACTCCCCTTACATCAACCTTATGAACCATTTGATGTATTCTATCCCATTAGCATTATAAAGAGCCATCAGATCAATCCCAGAGTGCCAGAAGTACAGTCATACCTTGGGTTATGAACGCTGCGGGTTGCACGTTTTCGGGTTGTGGACCACGCCAAACCTGGAAGTACCGGAACGGAAGCGCCGAATCATGTCACGCATGTGCACAGACGTGGCACTTCAGGCTACGAACGCTGCGGGTTGCAAACGTGCCTCCCACATGGACTGTACTAAGGGATTCAAAATGCTGGAGGCATGCAAGTTTCTCCAGGTTGTTCTTGCAGATATTGACTACTTGTGATGTTTCCAGATGTGAGTGATTTAGCTGCAACTCTTGCAAATCAAGTTGCCTTGCACCCACAGCTGGCCAACCTTTATCTCCTTAGGAGTAAAAACAAGTATGCATTTAAAATAACACATTAACACTTTGCTAACCTTTCATGACACCGTGAACCAACTGCCTGCATAGCCACCTCACTTTAACTCATGGGTTGGGAACCCCTGGCTAGCAGGCAATATCCTCAGGGGAGCAAAAGGTTTTCGATATTGTGAAATATGTTCAGTTTCAGAACTTTTCTTTGCCAGATGGATCTCTTGGAAGAAGATCAAAGCCGAGGGGGAAATGTCTCGGTAGAGTTGTGTTCCTTGCAAATATGCAACAAATAGTCTGCATTTTTGCAGAGCTGTGCATGCAACTTTCAGGATGCTCTTGCGTTTTGAAGCTTTAAATAGCTTGTAAAGCAAGGTTTGCAGTTCCAACTGTGCATTGACCTCATTTGCATTCTTCTGCTGAGATCACTCAGCTCTTTTTGCCTATTGCACAGTCAAGACAGATAAAGGGTGTTGGAGAGCATTATTATTATTATTATTATTAGTAGTAGTAGTAGTAGTAGTAGTAATAGTAGTAGTAATTGTCCAGTTTTTCACATCAATCAGTGTCACAAAATAGGTACTGGTGCTGCAGTTTAGGTAATTTTAGACTCTGGACTTAATGGTATTAAGTGGGTGGGGGCATCAAGGTAATGTATATTCCTTCAGCTATTTTTAAATGTGGTAAGGCAGCCCTGCTGTGCTGTGGGCCATCCTGCTTATTTTGCTAGGTGGGCCACTGGACATTTGTCCTAAAGTCTTGCCCTGATGACACAGCTGAACTAGAGTGGTCATATGCTACTCTAGGAAACGTTTAACCATGAAAGCAAACACTAGGTAGTATGCAACTAAGTTTTACGCAGAGTGCACCCACTGAAATCAATAAACATGACAAAGTTATGTTTATCCTTTTTATTGGATTTATAAATTTGTAAAACTGCAAATTTAGACATACTATAATTCAAATAAATGTCTGGAGACCACAAAAAGCTGAACCCAGAGCTGAAGACAATTGTCTCAATTCATACTAAAAGCATTTCAGTTCAGTATATTTTATATGAAATATAACCTATCACTTGCATTTTATGCCATACGTTTCCCTTAAGTTAAGGTTACCAGATTTTTTCAATGAATCTGGGGACACTTTTCAACTTCAATGGATTTTGTATGGGGACCGATTTGTAAATCCGGGGACTGTCCCCAGGAAACGGGGACGTCTGGTAACCTTACCTTAAGTTCTCTCTGCTTTATAGCAGCAAGGAGCAACCAATGACCCTTCAGATATTGTTGGATTACAACTCCCATCATCCCTCACTGTTGGCCATTATGACCAGGGCTGTTGGGAGTCTAATAACAGCTGGAGGTCGTCACATGTTCCCCATCTCTTTTCAGAAGTAAGTTTACTGCAGTAAGCCTCTGCACGCTTGACTGAGAGAATAAGCCCCATTGAACATGGTGAGAATTAAACACAGAAAGATTGTGCTGTTAGTATCTCTTGGTTGCCATCAAACCCAGGGCTGCTCCAGTTGTATATTGAGATCAGGTGGCTGCCCAAGGCCCCACAGTTTCAGAACTGCCTTCTCCTTCCACTCTCACAAATTGCCCAGCAGACAAAGCTGTCAGGACCAATTCTAAGGTCTTTGTATTTACTTAGTCTACTGGGGCACCTGGAACACCATACTGTAGATCAGCTAACATTAATTAGACGCCTTTCTGCAGCCTGCAAAAAGGTGTGCACTCAATAATTCACCCAGGGCAGCAAAATCAGAAAACCTTGAGCTGACCCTGATTAAACCTAATCTTTCTCTCCCCACTGCCCAGTGGATCACTCACAAAATATCTAGCCCTAGTCAGCTCAGTGCCTTTTAAATTTGATCCAATTAGAAGAGATCACCAGAAAGGAATTAACACTTTAAAGCTTTGCAGAGAAGCTCAGATAGTAATTAGTTTTCCATTCTTCTTGCATTTCTTTAGCCGCAAGAGATGTAGAGGCTGGTGGTCCCTGGAGAATGAATGAATGATTCCCCATTTCTGTGGAAGAGGTGAATCCTTCTGTGTTCTCCCTCCTTCATATGGATAGGACAGGTGCTTTAGGTTCACTGACTAAGCAGGGTGTCCCAGGCTTTGCAGATGAGCAAAACCTGAAATTTATGTTGGAGAGTGCACAGTTTCGTAAGCATTTAAATTGAAATGTTAGGGGGGGTGCACTAAGGGAAGGACTGAGAAGCTGTGGCTCTTGAGATGCTCTTGGAGTCCAACTCTGATCAGTCCCAGGAAGCATAGTGATGGTCTTCATGTGGC